GCCATAACAATTCCCAGTGGTTGAGGGGGTGGTCTCAGACGTTCAACACCTAGCTGCTCCTTGGTCCCTGCCCCAGGTTCAGGCCTGGTTTATGGGTGTTTGTGCTGAGATTGCCTTGATCTTACAGGCGTTAGCCTGGTTCCGGGTCAGGCTGTTGGCAGGATGACACCAGGGGTAGGAGGACCCCTTCTCTTCTGGAGATGGGCCTGTCCCCTCCCTCCCTCTTTCTCCCCTCCTTATACCTTGTTACCCTACCCTGGACTCCTAGAAATCTGTCCCAAGCTCTCGGGCCCCATAATGGCAAATGGCTTGCCCCTGCTCAGGAAAAGAACCTAGGACAGGGCATCTGAGGGCCAGAGGGTGGCTCAGTATGGCATAGCTGGTGGGCTCTGAACTTCAGCTGGGATTCTGGGCTCCTTAGAGGCCTTGGCTTTGGCTATCCCTGACCTCTTTTGTATCACTGATCTGGGCTCAGCTTCCTCTAGTGGTCCCTCCTGTCCTCCACTCTCCGGCCCAGTGGAGGGCAGCTGTAGGGATGGGGAATCCCAATCCCACAGCATCCAGCCCAGCCCACCTGTTTCTCCTTCACTCCAGTTACTTGGGGAATGTGCAAAGAGAAGCTGGGCCATCCATCACTGTCAGGGGCTCTGGAATTCAGGGTAGGGGAACAGCCATGGTCCCCACCTGTCACTGCCTCCAGCTTAGCTCCCCATCTCAGAGAGCCCGCAGGCCCTGGAGGAGGATGATGCTGGCTGCAGAAATGGCATCTTTGCCCAATCCTGTTCCTGGCTCCTTAGAGAACACACTGGACTTGTCAGGCCCTGTAAACACGGTAAATAAAGTTCCCCTGGAGGAACACCCCAAGCCAAGCAAATATTTGGACAGCCCAAGAGGCCGAGGGAAGGAGGAATGTTTCCTCCTCCCTCTGGTCCTCCTAGCTCTGACCCCTCACTAGTCTATGAGCTGGCTTTCAACCTCCCACCCTACCAGAAAGGCTAAAGGGTCAGGTTCTGGGCTTTCTCAACTGATTAAACCCAAGCCTACTGGTAGAAAGTTCATGAGCCTCTAGGGGCATCCTGAGGACAGATAAGGGGCTGGACCCAGCTAGCCAGATAACCACCAGCAGATATATGGTACCCAGGACCGCCACCCTCCAGCTGCCCCTAAGCTAACTGAGCCAGGATCTCTGACACTGAAATCTACCCTTCCCACTCACAACTTAGTCCAGCTTGGTTTTGAGACCTTCCTTCTCACCTTTAATCAGGGGCTCAGTGTCCCTCCCAAGAAGGGCCCAGTTTCTTTCTAAGCCTTCAGTCTCCCCAGCAGCCTTCCCCACCCGGCCCCTGTCAAATCTCCACCTCCCCAGCACTGTCCCACTTGGGGCTAAGGTGAAACCTCAGTTGACGAACAACCCAGCATCTTCCGCACTAGGAAGCCACCCTGCTCAGAGGAACATAAATCTACCAGGCCAGGCTTGTTTTTCTTTTGTGACCTCTCTCCGAACACAAAACAGAGCCTATGGCAGCCCGAGGACTCAGCCAGGAGAAGTGGTGTTGGGGATGTAGAGGGAGAGAACTTTCCTCTTGGAGTTGCTGTCCTGGGGCCATCGTGGGGAAGGCAGGAAGCTCTGGAGCTTCGAAACTAAGGGTGTCTTAGGGGATTGGGACTCTAAAGACAAGGGAGGGAGGAGGTGAGATTTCAGAGGTGGAGAAATGAGACATTAGGCAGGTTGTTGAATCAAAGGGGTAGAGTCCCCAAGGATATCTTCACTCCCCCCATAGCCTCCCTATTCCTCAATCTCTGTCGACCCCCAGTGGCCAGCCCGATATTTGCATTCCAAAAGCTGACCCAGCACTGAGCTTGGCCCCCAACAGCCCAAAGGAAGATGGGGAACACTCCCAGCTTCGGGTGCTGGCTTGGGCTGAGCTTAGACAGGAACACCCTCTATTCTCTTCCCCCTCCTCCCTCCCAGAACTGGAAATTCAATCTATCCAGGTCTACCTTAGCACCCGCCTCCTCTGAGCATCCTCCCTGGAAAGCCCTAGCCTGCAGATCTGTTCCCTCCTTTTATCTGTGTATCCTGACCATATGCCTCCAGTTGGTACTTGGATTTCAATATTTGTGTGCATCTTAGCTATCCCACTTTGTACTAACCTGGGGCAGAAACCACTGACTGTTTCTTCTTTATCTTCTGCATCAAAGCCAAGCATAGGGATAGGCATACAGGAGGTGCACAATAAATGCTAATGGTGTGGGTGATGATGATGATGGTGGTGGTGATGACAGCTACCATCTACTGAGCACCTATTACATTCCATATAGTTTGAATCTGTTTTCTTATTCAAAGCCACTTTATATACAGACAAGGAAACCGGTGTTCTCGGAAGTCAAGTGACGTAAATTAACATTTCATGTCTGATAAGTGGCAGGCCCCAAAATTTGATGGAGGTTTCTCTGGCTCCAAGCTACAGGTACATCCATCTCCTATGAGTCAAACATGCCTTTATCCCTAGAAGGGATGTGGGGATGACTACGACTCAGTCCCTGACAACATGGTATGGTGTGGGCCACAACAAAGACCGTGTCTCCACAGAGCATGCAAAGACTAGCTTTGCATCCATTTCCCTTGTCATTTCTCTCATTGCAGGGTAATTCTTCTCTAGTTTGCTCATTTGGCAGAAGGACAGATTGCTCAGCAGGGAAAGCAGTCTCCTAGGTCCTGTCACCCAAGGAGGCTGTGGTCAACTAGGATACTCCTGTGAACAATGGACATCCGAAAAAGTCAAGAATCCAAGCCTGCAGAGGAAAGAGTCATCAGAGATTGCTACCTGTAGAATACCCAGGCCCTCCCAGGATCCAACATGGGTCAGTTCAGTTCACAAACACTGCTGGGCCACCCCTGGGAGCCTGCCAGGTACAAGAATCTGATAGCAAACTGTCCCAGATCAACACACAACACTGAGCGGCGGGACCACCGACCTGAGCCTTACTCTTGTCCGTGGCCTCCCTGAGCCATTTTGCTTTTGTCCAGCCTGGTGACCTTGGTGGAAACTGAGGGACTCTTTCCCCTCCCCTTCCCCAGGTAAGCCGCTCCCCTGAGACTCTTTCAGTCACTTTTTTTTTTAAGGTTTCACTTTTATTAAAACTTATTTTTAAATTTTAATATTTATTTATTTATTTATTTGGGGAGGTGGGATTACATTATTTTTTTAAAATTTAGTGGAGATACTAGGGATTGAACCCAGGACCTCATGCGTGCTAAGTGCTCACTCTACACTGAGCTATACACTCCCCCAACTTGGTTCTTAGTGAAGAATACCTGCTTGGGCTGAAAAAAGAGCCTATTATGGGGGGGTCTGAGGTGGTTCAAGTCCCCCTCCTTTACCTGCCCCCATCACTAGCATTCTGACAAGGCCCCTGCTTGGAGTTGACAGCCCTGGAAAGTGGGCAGCCTATTCCATTTCTCAGGCACATTCTGCAGGGAGCAGAGCTTGCAAGTTTCAGGTTGGACTTTTCCATGGACACTTGATGAAGGGATTTTTATGGCCAAAGTGGATTGGTAACACCTGCTTTTAAAAAGGTCCAGACGGAAATGACCCGAGCCAGGCAATAAGGTGCAGGCCACTGTGACTCTCATTACCCATTTTTTTTCTCACATTGGTGCAGAATAGAACTGCTTCCTGCAGGAAATCTCACCCAGCCAGAAGGGCCACCCAAGGCCCGCTTCTGGGCAGAAGCATAGTGGTCTTCCTCTAGAAGCGTACGTGCCCTTGCTGGGCAATCTACCTTTCATCAGTAGCTGACAACCTCACTCCCAGCCTAGCTGATTGCTAATGCTGATGGGTGTGCATGGATCCTGCCACACAGAATATTTGTACTATAGAAGCTCTAAAGAAGATGGGCTCACACACAGCCACCTAGCACATAGCTGAACTTGTACTTGCAGAAATAATGACTCAGGAGACTTGCCTGAAGCACACACTCCAGGAAGCTCTCCTGATACCCTCAATGACCTCTGGGATAAATTCACGCCACTGGCATCAGTAGCACCCACATGGGCATTGTGGGGGCGCACATCACTCCACACAGGTCAACAGACAGGCAGGGATAAAGTGGGAGTGTCACAGCGTCCTGGGTAGTCTGTGGCATTTACTGTGAGGGGCTGGGAGCCCACTCCATAGGGTTGTTGTGAGGGTTAAAGGAGTTACTACATGTGAAGCGTGTATATAGCATGTGCCACAGACGTATTAGCCCGTATCAGCTGTCTTTTTGCCCTCTTCAAATATTTATTAGCCAATTTGCATTTCTTCTTGGTTTTGCATATTCATCTCCTATGCCTTCATGGGTTTTTTTCTTTTTTCTTTTTTTTAATTAAAGTATAGTCGATTTACAATGTTGTGTTAGTTTCTGGTGTACAGCACAGTGATTCAGTTATAAATATATATTTTCTTTTTCATTATAAGTTGTTACAAGATATTAAGTATAGCTCCATGTGCTATATAGTAGGACCTTGTTGTTTACCTATTTTATATATAATAGTGTGCATCTGGAAATCCCAAACTCCCAGTTTATCCCTCCACCCCTCCTTTTCCCCCTGGTAACAATAAGTTTGTTTTCTATGTCTGTGAGTCTGTCTCTGTTTTGTAAATAAGTTAATGTGTGTCATTTTTTAAAGGTTCCACATATATGTGATATCATATGGTGTTTTTCTTTCTCTTTCTGATTTACTTCACTTGGTATGATGATCTCCAAGTCCATGAATGTTGCTGCAGATGGCATTGTTTTATTCTTTTTTATGGTTGAGTAGTATTCCATTGTATAAATATACCACAACTTCTTTATCCAGTCATCTGTTGATGAACATTTAGGCTGTTTCCATGTCTTGGCTATTGTAAATAGTGCTGCTATGAACATTGGGGTGCATGTATCTTTTCAAATTAGAGTTTCTTCCAGATATATGCCAGGAGTGGGATTGCTGGATCATATGGTAAGTCTATTTTTAGTTTTTTAAGGAATCTCCTTACTGTTTTCTATAGTGGCTGCACCAAACTACATTCTCACCAACAGTGTAGGAAGGGTCCCTTTTCTCCACACTTCAGGGGTTTTTTTCCTTATTAAATTGTAAGAACAATTTGTCCTTCCAGTTCATGAACACAGAGGATGACCTTTTATATACTTAGGTCTTTTAAAATTTCTGTCAATAATGTTCTGTAGTTTTCAGAATACAAGTCTTGCACACTTCTTTTGTTAATTTTATTCCTAAGTTTTTTTGGTGTCATAAATGAGATTGTTTTCTTACTTTCATTTCACATTGTTTACTGGTAGAGTATAAAAATACACATTTTTGTACATTAATATTATATCCTGAAACTTTGCTTACCTTGTTACTTTTAACAGGCTTTTAGTAGATTTATTAGGCTTTCCTATATATAAGATGATGTCATCTGTGAATAGAGGTAAATATTTACTTTTGCTTTTATTATCTGGATGTGTTTTATTTCTTTTTCATGCTTTATTGCCTTGGTTAGAACCTCCAGTAAAATATTGAATAGTGGTGGCAAGAGCAAACACACTTGTCTTGTTCCTGAATTTAGAAAGAGAATTTAGAAATAATTTAGGAAGAGAACTCAGTCTTTCACCATTAAATAAGATGTTAACTGTGGATTTTTTGGTCGATGGTCTTTATCTGGTTGAGGAAGTTCCTATGTTATCCTAGTTTGTTGAGTTTGGAGGGGATTATTTATCATGAAAGGATAATGGATTTTATCCACTGCTTTTCCTGTGTCTATTAAGAAGATCATGTGGTTTTTGTTTTTTATTACTATTGGACATTAAACAAACCTTGTATCCCAGGGACAAATCCCATTTGTTTGTAGCGCTTAATCCTTTTATTTATATGTTACTGGATGTGGTTTACTCTGTAGTTTTCTTTCTTTATGATGTCTTTGTCTAGTTTTGGTATCAGAGTAATATTTACTTCACAGAATGAGTTGAAAAATATTTCCTCCTTGTATTAGTTAGGGTTCTCCAGAGAAACAGCAGCAATAGTGTGTGTGTATATATATATGAATTGGCTTATCAGCTTATGCAATTATGGAGGCTAGAAAGCCCAAAATCTGCAGAGTTAATGTCCCAGTTCAAGTCCAGAGATTGGCAGACTGCTGTAGAACCAGGAAGAACTGATACGCCAGTTTAAAGGCCATCAGGCAGAGAGAACTGATGTTTAGTTTGAAGGCTGGCAGAAAGGAAAATTCTCTTTTACTTGGGGTAAGATAAAGTAAGATTGAAAGACCAGTCTTTTATTTTATTCAGGCCTTCAACTGATTGGATGAGGCCCCTCACATTATGGAGGACAAGCTATTTTACTCAGTCTAGCAATTTATTCTTTTCAGGATATATTTTCATTTTTAAATCATTTTGAATTTAAGTATAGTTAATTTACAATGTTGAGTTAGTTTCAGGTGCACAGCAAAGTGATTCAGATATATTTATACATATGGTCTTTTTCATAGTCTTTTCCATGATAGGTTATTACAAGAGCTCAGTCTACAATTTAAACGTTAATCTTGTCCAAAAGCACCATCACAGACATTTCCAGAATAATATTTGACCAAATACTGGGCATCCATGGCCCAATCAAGTGGCCACATAAAATTAGCTATCACAGGTCCACCCCCTTGTCTACTTGGCACCCATATCCATCTCTTTAACCATACGTCATCTCTAAATAAAGACAATAACAAGGTTATAATCCTGCCAACGTGATACAGCTATCCTGTCTACAACCTAAGGTACATTAACCCCATCTCCAGAGGAGGGGATAGTCCTTGAGGGATATTTAATCCTTCCCTTGATAGCCCATAACCTAAAGACTATGATATAAAGTTAACCATGCTTAAATACTGATACTCAAGTCTCCCTTTGCCTCTCACTTATAAGAACACTTATCATTGAATTTAGAATGCACCCACATAATCCAGGGCTATATCCTCATCTCAAAATCGTTAATTTAATCACATCTACAAAGAGAGAGCCTTTTTCCAAAGATAATATTCATAAGTTCCAAGTATTAGGGCATAGACATATATGTGTGGTAGCCACCCTTCAGCCCAGTGTAATGGATATATGGGATGGAAGGAACAGTGTAAGGAGCAAGGTTCAGAGAAAGTCTAGAAGGGACTATTATGTTGTGTTTCTCTCAGGGACCAGCATCACCATCACAAACATTTTTTGAGTGATTACCTTGTATCAAGCTCAATGCTAAGCCCTTTATGTAATTATCTCATTAAAGTGGTCCATCCGAGTTGTGATGATTATTATCCTCATTTACCAGTAAGGAAGCTGCAGCACAGAGAAGTAACTTGGCCACAATCACAAAGCCAAGAAGTGGTGGTGCCTGCTTACTAGCTATCTGACTTCAAATTCAGTATCTCTAACCACATCCATTAGCATCTCCCTCACACAGGCGTGGGGATTGGGATTCAAGGTGCTGCAGTGGTGTTAGAAGCATCTTGATATGGCTTGGGAGCCCAGGTTTTGAGATCAAATAGGCTTGGATTTCAATTCTGTTTCTGACCCTTATTACTTGTGTGACCTCCCGAAGCTTCTGTTTGCCCTGTGATGAACTGGGGAGAGACCATTCATTCATTCATAAGTACCAACTATGTACCAAGAAAATTACACTTACCTATTGGGATGCTGTGCAACTTGAACAAGCTGATGCATATAAATCCACTGGCACATACTACATGCTTGGCGAAGAGTGGCTATTATTATTGTTGTGTAGTTACAGTCGTTATAAAGAGATAGAGAGACAAAGGGGGTGATGGCCAGGAGGCATCACATTTGGAGTGAGACCGGATGGAATCATCAAGACCTAGACTGATTTAAAGGCCAGGGAGGCAATGGCACAGGCAGGCAGAGAAAGGCTAGGATCCTTGGTTGTGCTGTAATCTCAGGCTGAATTTACCCGAGCGAACACATGAGGGCGTGTGCCCCTCACAATGGGCTGGTTCAGAGACGCCCAGAATCCCGGGTTCCTGTTCCCTGTTTCCACCTCTAGGGCTGCAGGCCCTGGCCCTGTGACTGAGAAGGATTCTGCGGGAGAGAGGAGGTATAGCAGATTAACAGGTCCCCTCTGGGGCACGAAGGAGCAGATACGGGGTGTCGAACCCCCAAGAGGGAGTAAAGGAGGAAGCAGAACGGACTCAGCAGATTGAGGGTTGATGGGAGAGAGAAGAGGTCAAAATACAGGGGATCAGCATGACCTCTTAGCCTATAGACCAAGAAAGTAAACAGCATCAGTCTGTTACTGTCTGTCTCTCTCTTTCTCTCTCTCTCTCTCACACACAAACACACACACACACACACACAGGGCTTGTGAGGGAGTCCCTTGGAGAAAGGAGCCTGAGTGAAGCATGAGACTGTCCAGCCAGGGGCATTTGCAGTCAGACATGATCTCTGTCTTCATGTAATGATAACACAAAAGGTCCAATGAAATCAAGTCAGTCCCGAGTTTAGGAGTCTCAAATAACTTCTAAAGCCTGAGCAGGATGGTTTAAACTTCAGAAGGAAGGGAACAAGGGGTGGTAGCAAGGTGCACCAGCCTGGGCGTCAGGTACTGCTCACTATACACTTGTTGGCAGGATGGCCTTGGGCACGTGACATAAACTTTCTGAATTTGCTATATCTTTCAAATGGGACTAATAATAGAACTACAAGGTAAGAGGTGAGTAAGATACTGGGTATGGAAGTGTCTGGCACACAGCAGGCACCTAGTAAATGCTGGTTCTGTAGCTCTCCATAAGGGAATCTTGAGAACCAACTTAAGTGGGAAAATTGGGCGACCTTGAGGCAGATTGTCCTACTTGAGGGGCAGTAGCCTACTATCAGGAGATGAAACTTATGTAGGATTGGACCTGAACTAGATAACCTTCAGGAACTTTCCACCCCTGAGACCCCATGGTCTGTCAGTCAGCAAATACATACGACATTTAGGGCATTGTGGGAGATACAGAAAGATACCCAGATCTGATCATTCAGATCTCAGTTCAAATGTCACTTCCTTAGAGAAACTTCTCCAACCATCCAGACTAAATTAGTGCCACTCCCTCAACCTTTGTCATCATCTAGACCATGACTTTGTTTTATTTTCTTCATAAGTGATCAGTCTAAAATGACTCTTTCTCTTATGTGTTTGTATTCTGGCATGGACACACACATAGATAAGCTCAGTAAAATTTGTTGCTGTGACGTACAAGAAGTGGACCCCGGCATCAAAGAGCTTATGAGACGGGTATGGGAGTCATTGAGGGTTACTGTGTCAAGATTAGGAGCTCACTTCCAGCCAAGAGATGTGAGTTCTAGGAGTTGTTGGGTCTTAAGTGAGTCTTTGAAGGATGAACAGCATTTAGAAAAGTGGAGGTAAGTCAGCAAACTCAAACTTGACAACAGCAAACGCAGTTCTTAGTTTCTGAACAGCACAGGTTACCAGCCCTGGTTACCAGGCCTGCACTAGAGCAGTGAACAAGCCAGAGGAGGCTCTGCTTCTGGAATGGTGCTCTCATCCCAGCAAGAGAAGACAGGACACATTCAGATAGTAATCAATACTATGGAGAGGACAACAAAGGGTAATAGGATGGAAAGAGATAGAGCTAGAGGTGGGAGGGTTTCCTTTTGAGATGGGCATCACAAAGCCTTTGAAGAGGCCATGTCAGAGCTGAGATCAGAATGATTAAAAGGGTCAGGCACCTGAAGTCCAGTCCACCCTTCCACTCACAAGGGCTAATTTGCCCTACATTCAGCCCTTGCCACTTCTTCTGTATCTCTGTCCTCCTCTGATATTTCCCCAGAGCCTCTTTGCTTTCTCTGGTCACTCTCTACTCCTTTTAGTGTAAATCAGTCCCGACTTTCAAGGTCTCTTTCAATTTTCCTTTAGTCATTGCTATCAGTTCAATAAACCCAAAGACCCTAAATCAAGCCAGAAATCCCAAGAAGATTTTTCAAAAGGGGAAGAGAATGGGGAAAGACAATGAA